GTGGTCTGCTTAACGGCGCTAGCGCTCATCTTTCCAGACTAATGTCTCTCTGGCCCGTGTCCAGACACGTTGACATCGTCGCTGCTGCACTGAGGGAACTGCCAGTTCTATCTCTGTTTCTGGGAACAAAGTGGTTGGTATCCTAAGGAGATTTCAAAAGAGAGAGAAACCAGTAACGGATGAAGTGTGAGAGTTGTGTGCATACTCCACTCAGAGGAGATATGATGACCAGGTTGAAGGGTTGTTGAAAGTGAGACAGCAAAGTGTAGCCTCCAGCTCCTGTTTCATCTGCTCTGTTTGGCTGCTGGTCTGGCTATGATATCCAGAGCTGAGACTGACCCGGCCTCCTAATGCTGAACAAAATGACCTCCACACCTGTGAAGTAAACCAAGGGCCTTGATCAGACATGATCTCCACCGGAATACCATGGACTCGGAAAACATGATCTGTTAACAATTTAGCTGTCTCAGCAACTGAAGACAGTTTTTTTTTTTTTTCAAGGCTATACGGTGGGCTAACTTTAAAAAACTGTTAAATATGGTGATTATTACAGTTTTGCCTGAGGAAGCAGGGATATGATTGTAGGAAACAGAGACGTTAAAACGTGCGTAAAATAGTGACCAGCGAGCCTGATGGGCTCTCAGTCTCTTGGCTGTCCTTAAATAGGTTAAGTTCTTATGATTATCCAGATCACAAAAGGATGCTCTGCCCCCTTGTAAGTGTCTCCATTCTTCTAGGCCCAATTTTACAGCCAACAACTCGCGGTCATCTACATCATAATATCTGGGGAGAGACTGCGAGAAAAGAAGGCACAGGCTTGTAGTTTGCCTTGAGAACCTGAGTACTGTGAGAGGACTGCTCCAACACCAGAGTCTGATGCTTCCACTTCTACAATACACAACTGTGAGGGGTGGATGAGAATGGGAGCAGTTGTGAATAAGTGTTTTAATTTTGAAATGGCGATTCAAAGAAGGCAGTGTGTTTGTTCAGCCTCACTTCTAGTACCGGTGCCCACCTCAATTTTAAATACACGTAGACATTGAGGGTTCTTTGGGGGGGCATGCTGACACTGGCTATTGTCTGGCAGGTGAACAGGGGCAGGTCATTGGCACCATGCCCCTCCCATGTTTTAAATTCACTTTTGAACAACACCATATGAATGGGCAGAGTGAGGGGGGTCGTCACAAACTGCTGATGCCAGGAGAACAGGAGAACTTCCCTGCTGCTGCAGGACTGGAAGGGGTCTCCTTGTCTCCACCCCAGAGTAAAGGAACCCTCTCCTGGGTCTGGTTATTGCCTCAGGTAATAATACTGATGGCTTTGGTCTGGTGGGTAATGGTAGTGAAAAATTGGTTATTAAGGGCTGTAGCAGGGATGGGAGGATTTAACAGGACCAAAGGGAGATGTAACTTGTTAGCTAACCTAATATCAATTAGGTTCTGCTCAGCTCCTGAATCTGCTGAGGCTTGAAGTGACCTAGTGATCTAGTTGAGACTGAGGATGACCAGAAGGAGAAGCAGAGATTCAGTGGAAGTGAGGGATTCGCCCACCCGTATGCCCGAATTTACCAGTGGGCGGAGTCTTTTGGCCAAATTGGACAGGTTGCCATGAAGTGATTTGGAAAATTTCTCTGCAGCGGAAGCATCTCTCCCTTTCGTCAGCTGGAGGTGGTGACACACGGACCGGGATCGGAAACAGAGGGAGTCAGGACAAAGACAAGCTATGAAAGAGAGAAAGCATTTATCGGTTACCTTACCCTTGATCTTTCCCCTGTATTTTGGTCCATAGTTTGCATGTTGGAATAAATGTCTGAATGTATGGTTGATTATGTG